CACAATTGTGCAGTATCTCTCTCTCTCACAAATTAATAAAATCTTTTTTAAAAAGTAACATACATTTTTCAATAAGGCATACTTCTAAATTCCTAATTAAAGATTAAACTGGTCAACCTGAGAAACTTAAACTATCGTTATGCTGCTAATAGGGTCTTAATCTTCCCCCTCTTATTTACTTTTAGCAATATCTCTGCTTTTTTACTTCCCAAAGAAATTTTTTTAAGATTTTATTTATTTACTTGAGAGAGAGAGAGAACATGAGCAGAGGGAGGGGCAGAGGGAGAAGCTGAGCAGGAATCAGATGCGGGACTCGATCCCAGGACTCCAGGATCATGGCCTGAGCTGAAGGCAGATGATCAACTGACTAAGGCACTCAGGTGCCCCTCAAAGAATTACTTGATATGGAAGAATTTAGTCCAAAAAAAGAAAACATTCTTCCTGAAAGATATAAACAACTATTACTAAATATTAATCTCTATTATCTATGCAGTATTCAAGTGCCTTTATTTTTAAAAAGATTTTATTTATTAGAGAGCATAGCATGCGCAAGGGGGGGGGCAGGCAGAGGGAGAGGGAGAAGCGGGCTCCCTACTGAGCAGGGAGCCTGATGTGGGGCTCCATCCCAGAACCTTGGGATCATAACCCAAGCCTAAGGCAGATGCTTATTAACAACTGAGCCACTCAGGTGGCCCTTAAGTCCCTTCTAATACTACAGCTTTAAGTTTCTTTAAAGTAGTAAACACATTTCCTTATACTAAAATTATTATAGCTCTTATGAAAACATGATTGCTAAAACCTCAAGTTAAAGTACTACTGATGATTCATGTTTAATCTAGACATACTTCCTTTCCTACAATCTCTCTAAATAAATACAGGAGAATTTATGAATGCCACAAAACATAGGATTCAAAATATACTCAAATGGTCTATTGTGACCTTATAATAAAGTTAAAAGACTTATTACGTAAAAATTTTACAACACTACTTTTTTAAAATGGCATATTAGTGTTTCCCTACACTCTTTTTTTTTTTTTTTAAGATTTTGTTTATTTATTCATGAGACACAGAGAGAGAGGCAGAGACACAGGCAGAGGGAGAAGCAGGCTCCATGCAGGGAGCCTGATGTGGGACTCGATCCTGGGTCTCCAGGATCACGCCCTGGGCTGAAGGTGGCGCTAAACCGCTAAGCCACCCAGGCTGCCCTCCCTTCATTCTTCTAAACCGTATTAACTGGGGGACCTAGAGATGAGGGAAGCAAACAAAAGGGCTAGCCAAACCAATAAGCCATGTTTGTCCTTAAGATTCTACCATTCTTCTTTAGCCCACACTTAGTCTTACCCCTCATTACTGTCAGATTCACAAGATTCGTAAAGGACCCCAAGAAACCCAAGCTTCTCACTACAACTCAACCCTTATCATGCCTTTTTCCGCTAAACAGTGTTCCTAGGGATCCCTGGGTGGCGAAGCGGTTTGGCGCCTGCCTTTGGCCCAGGGCGCGATCCTGGAGACCCCAGATCGAACCCCACGTCAAGCTCCCGGTGCATGGAGCCTGCTTCTCCCTCTGCCTGTGTCTGCCTCTCTCTCTGTGTGACTATCATAAATAAATAAAAATTAAAAAAAAAAAACCAAAAACAAAAAAACAGTGTTCCTATATGCCACACCTCTCCTGATCAGTGAGTGCATAAAATCTTACTTCTACATTCCACTGCCTCTGAACCCTCACCTGTTTGTGGTATCAGCAAGTTTATTTGATAAACTAATATGGGATAATATTACCAATAAAAGACAACAGTTTAAATTTTCTCCAGAGAATTTGTGATTTTAAACAGATTATTTTATTTATTTATTTGAATTTATCATTATATGGTTTCACTCATACAGGGAATATAAGAAATATCAATAGGTCATTTTTAAAATTAATTCCATAACACACAAGACAGACACAAAGTTTGGCACTGGCAATTCTCAAATTATGCTACACAATCAACCATCTAATCTACCTATCTGTAATGTAGATCCAATTACAATTTAATACAGTTTAAACTAAAAATTAATGTAGTCATATACAACCAGTAGGGAATATATGTCTGGCTTAGATATATGCCTCGTGGCAAATGTCAAGTAAGTGATAACTAAAATTATGACTGTATGGTTTTATCATAAGTCTTATATCTGTTAAATCTTCTCACTTTCAAAGTAGAGCAAATGACTCTCTGTAGCTAATCCAGTTCAAACAGGTAACTTTCTTCTTTTAATTTCTTAAAATTTTTATGTAATCTCTATGTATCTCTAATGTGGGGCTTGAACTCATGACCCCAAGACCAAGAGTTGCGTGTTCTACCAACTGGGTCAAGCAGGCCCCTAAAATGGTCAGGTAACCTTTTAACCCACCCAGAATAATTACCTTAGCACACCATATATGAGGACTTTTTCAGAACATTTGATACTTATGACTTTACAGTGTCTTTTCTACGTTATGATTTTTCACAACTTGGTCAATTACAAATATAATTACACACTGTTTACTTCAAATTCTAACAAACCACTTTATTCTTTATTGCATTAATCCAAAGTACAGTCTCTTATGACTGAGATAATTAAATACCATTTCATTCCATCTGCAATTAATCCTATAGTTAGTTACAAGTCTAGAGCCTCAGGTGTCTTTCTGAACAACAGATCCAAGTTCTTTTTAAAACCGGAATAGGAGCAGCCCCGGTGGCTCAGCGGTTTAGTGCTGCCTTCGGCCCGGGGTATAATCCAGGAGACCCGGGATCGAGTCCCATGTTGGGCTCCCTGCATGGGGCCTGCTTCTCCCTCTGCCTCTCTCTCTCTCTCTGTGTGGTGTGTGTGTGTGTCTGTCATGAATAAATAAATAAAATCTTTAAAAAAGAAAAAAAAACAGAAGAGTATGGATTTTGTATTATAATAATCTTGTGAAGAAACCTCTAGACAGAATCTCAAACATAAGAATAGCTAGATAAATTTGGGGGAGAGCAAACTTCTCCAATTCTTATTTTCTTAACAGTGGAAAAAGAATAACATTACTAGCTCAAATGAAATGCCTGAGACATTGAATATTATAAAACATACCGATCCTATTCAGTTTTTCCATACAATCCTATTTGGAATTTCTATACACCTACAAATCCACAGAGATTATTAAGGTCTATACCACTTAGAGCTTTTACTTTCTTTCAACTCCTACTGAGAAGAATATGAAAAGAGCACAGGTACTGTATGAACGCAGAATTAAAACAATTTGGGAGAGTTTTTTAAGACAAAATCTACACACAATCCTTACTCAGCTATCTGTAAACCAAATTTTATTAAAAACATTAGTGTTTTATAAACTACCCAAAAAGGTCATTAAAGTAGAGATTAAAACCTACACAAATCAAATAATTTATTCTACATTCTTTTAAGTCACATATTCGGCCCTATTCTTTAAACAAATAGGGTCAGCAAGTATCCAATATGCCCTCATCTCCACTTCCCACCCACTCTTCTTTTGCTCCTGGAAGACAAGTATGAGGTTCAATTCAATCCTAAAAGACTGCTTCACCTAAGAGCTACTTTTGCCTTGACTTTCTTTATGACCTTGGGGGGAATCTACCAAAAGACAATTATAATGATGTTGTTTATCACTGAAATTTAATCCTAATATGCTAACATTAGTAAAGTCATCTAAACTAAACCTAGAAAAGTGAAAAAAAAACCATTGAGTTATAAACATTGACTGATATGTAACATAAGCCACATTTTAAAAATGTAGCTAGTTAAGGGGGAAAAATAAGAAGGCCTCAAATTCAACAATGTTGAAAAACAAATTCTGAAAAACACCAACTGACTCTCTACTTTTCTCTATGGACAAATGGTTTGCAATATAAGAAAAAAGGTGGGGGGGGGGCGGAATGAAACTAGCCTTAACTACTTGTCCCTTGCTTTTATAAGGATTACAGGTGGACAACAAACGAAAAATTTAAAACTTGGCAAAGAATGGGGAAACTGTATGTAAAGAAATCTACAATCTGAAAATTACTAAGATGAATCTTTTAAGTACTAATTTGTATATCCATATTGGGCAGTAATCATGGTACCGCTTTATTAGCACTAGAAAGATAAATCCTTGCCTAGGAGGAACATTTACTAAGTACATTTCATTTCAAGATCTTAGGGCAGTTTACGAGCAGTATCTCTTTAGGCTTCCCTAAGGTACTCTAAAGTGCTTAACATCATTCACACATCCAGCCACCGCTAGGGTGAGAAGTAAATAAACACGATTTACTTATGCAATTATTTACCACAGAATTCTAGTCAAGAATGAAAAAGTAAACATCCACATAGTCATTTAATACCCAAGGAAAGCGGCGACTACTACGGCCGATAAGATTCACCCTTAACTGACCACTACAGAAACCACAGGCCTTCCACATGGGCTGTCCTTTACTACCACTCCTGATTCGAAAAAGTAACAATGTCAAGTCAACATTTTAACAGTACAGAAGATAAACAGAACTTGATGAAATATCTAATTCCAGATCCTCGGAAGATGTTTATAAAAACTGAGACAGAGCAACGCCCCCCTAAAAGCACCCTCCTAGAAAGAATGAAATATCGAAAACATCAGGTGGGCCAAGGTTAGAAAAGCTGATCTAACCCAACTACCCCAGAGGGACCACAGGGTTTGGGACTAGGAACGTGAGATCGGGGTGGGGGTGGGTAGCAAAGTGAAATCTAACCCCAGAAATCACAACACAGGCCGCAGCCTGGGAGCTGAAGCTGGCGGGAAGTGAGCTCCCTTTCTGTTCCCAGGGGAAAGTCCAGAGAAGAGCGGCTCCACACCGCGCACTTACAGGGCGCCAATGGTGCATGCCTACCAAGGCGCCGAGCCGCTGGAGAACCCGGTTTGGAAGGGGAGGAGACCCCGGCAGACGGCCCTGGAAGAGGAGGACTAAGGTTGGAAGCAGCGGCAGTGTCTGGACGAGGGGGATTACCTAACTGTGACGACAGAGAAGTGTCCTCAGGCTCCGGCGATGGTCCCGACTGCGCAATGTGTGGTGTCTTTCCCGCTTAGCCCGCAGCAGCAACAGAACCAGCTCCTTCAGCCAGTCGCCATTTCCCGCCTACCGACCTGCTGCACCGCACGGACAGAGACCCGGATGGAAAGCGGCCTCTCCGCGCAGGCGCCTCGGCTTCCTCCTCCCCCTCCCGCCACAATTCCGCGAGGTGGGAGGGAAGGAATGCGGGAGGCTTCAGCGGCAAAAAAAAAAAAAAAAAAAAAAAAAACACAAAAAACCAAACCAAACCAAACTAAAACAAAAAGCCCCGACAAAAACAAAAACAAACAAACAAACAAAAAAACAACTTTTAGTCCCGTAAAGGGCCTTGGAGTTCCTGCCGCCAGAAGAAACTCACAAACCCGATTCTTGACAAAAATTGAACGCAGACCCTCAGGACCGAATGGAGGAACAAGGACAAAACCTATCAGGCTACACCAGGGCCCGGGGGATATTTGTACTTTAGGGGCCTCCGTAGCTGGCTGTGTAGTGATTGCAGGAGGAGTAGGGAGTAAAGCGTTGGGAGTGAAGAGGCGGGGATCCGAAGGACGGTTTTTCCTCCCGCTGCTAACGGAACTGCTTAGGCAGGGCTGGGAGGGGGAGCGCGCCCTCGCCCGGGAGGCGGGGCTTAGGAACGCGGCGCTCACCCTGGCGGCGAGGCTTTAGCAACCCGGGCGCGCCAGGTGGGTGGGGCCAAGCGGGACAGGGTGGGACTAACGCCTTGGCGCGCCGGAGGAGGTAGTTAGTGTGTAGCGAGCGCTGCCGGAGGCCGTGGCGAGACGAATCCTTCCTTCTTTCCAGGGATCCGGGTGGCCGGCCGTTGAAGGTCCTCTTTCCAGCTCTCTGCCTAGAGAGCATAGCAGTTGCTTGTGGATCTGCCATGCAAACCCACGCCATTCGACTCCACGCGATGTCGGCGCTGGTCCTTCCGAGAAGTCAGATCGTTCAGACAACTGGGGTCCTACCTGCATTACTGAGTCTAAGGACCGACCGTCAGCCTCACGGGGTGGAAATGTATCAGTCCAAGCGTCCAGCCCTAGTGGAGTATCAGAAAACCGAGTGTAGTGGTTGGAAGAGCATCATCTCTTTACTAAAACTCTTGGGCAATTCACATTATTCAATCAAGAAATATTTACTGAAAAAAAAAAAAAAAACACAGGGTGTGAGGACCATACTAGATGCGAGGGATACGAGGCAGACGTGGACCCTGCCTTCCCAGAGTTCATGGTCTATTGAAGACAAACAAGTAGACAATTTAAATACAGCTAAAATGACCACAAGGAGTTCTTGACAGGCGTACAACTTGAGTGAGGGTTTGAGATGGCTTTCATGAGATGATGGCAGGAAGAATCGATCGATGTTAGAAGGCAAGTGTCTAGGTAAAGGAAACGACAGATCGAAAAATCCAAAAATGAAATTGCATTGAGCAGTTAGGGAAATGGTTCTGTGCACCAGGGATACAGGAGTTGAGGGGAAGATAGTGGAGAGAGATGGCACGGAGGTAAGCAGAGAATCTGGTGAATTCTTGTGAATCTGGTGGTTTCAAAGTGTGGAGGAGGTGGGTTGTCTCCTGATAGCCTTATATACTACAGATCCTGTCAGAGCTCAGAGTTCATTTGTACCAGGTCTCTTCCTAATACAAGAATGCTCTAAATGAGACATTGACAGGACGTGGTGTAACTGTGTGCAGAACTGGTATTAGTCCACAAAATAATAGATTCCTAAAAAACGAATTGAAAATCAACAAACAGTTACTGATTATCCAGGGTGTATCACGGAAAGCAATAGAATATAGACTAAACAATTACCCCAATTGATTACCAAAATAATTTTTAAATCAGGTAAAAATTGGAAGTATTTCTGAAAAAAAGTTGTTCCCAGTAGTAGTAACTTCCAGTGTTCACTCTTCTAAAACAAGTATGCCATTTACAAAGTAGTTTTATATGCATTTTGATTTCCCCAACAACCCTAGGAAAAAATAAAATAGGTGATATTAGTCCCCAAACTCTTCAGCTGAAGACGCTAAAATTTTTTTAAGGTGAGGAGAGGGGAGAAAAAAGAAAAAACAGATGTATTATCCAAAGACAATCTGCCAGGAAGAAATATACTCAGGACTCAAGCCCCCCTTCTCCTCATTACAGCACCTCCTACTGTCTCCTGTGGCAATGTTAATTGTTAGATGTTAAGTTTAGAAAGGCTGCTGGTAGCAAGTCTAAGTGCTTTTGCAATTTATTTAATATTTCAATACCATTTGTTCACAGATGACTATTATTTCTGATTTTCACCTTCTTTTACATCTAATAGTCTACTAGATTCTCTTCTGCAATATCTAAGTGGATTGTTTTGAAATCAAATGAGATATTATTTACGGAAAAACATTCAATAAGCTGTTTTCCTTGCTCCTTAAATAATAGTTGTTAATGTCATTAAGCTTCAGTAAAAATTCTGTCCAAGATTTTAGAATGAAATAAAGGTTTAAAAATATGAACTTTTTAAAGGTTTTATTTATTTATTCATGACAGACATTGGGGGTGGGGTGGGGCGGAGACACAGGCAGAGGGAGAAGCAGGCCCCATGCAGGGAGCCTGACTTGGGACTGGATCCCGGGTCTCCAGGATCCCACCCTGGGCTGAAGGCGGCCCTAAACTGCTGAGCCTCCGGGACTGCCCAAAAATATGAACTTTAAAAAAAACCCTGAAGTATATTAAGATGCAAAGCAGTAGCCATAGGGAAAAAATTAATGCAAAAACCTAGTGACATGCATGCTTTCTAACCTATACAGAACTATTGCTATGTGAAAACATTAATGAAATAGGATGTTCACTAAGTAATGTGATAGAAGTGTCTTGGATATTCTATAGAATCCTTCACGGGATCCCTGGGTGGCGCAGCGGTTTGGCGCCTGCCTTTGGCCCAGGGCACGATCCTGGAGACCCGGGATCGAATCCCACGTCGGGCTCCCGGTGCATGGAGCCTGCTTCTCCCTCTGCCTGTGTCTCTGCCTCTCTCTCTCTCTCTCTGTATGACTATCGTAAATAAAAAAAAAAAAATCAATAGAATCCTTCAAAAAGTTCCTTATTTCACAGTATATGGAATATATTTACCTTTGATATGTAAGGCATATGCACTTCACAAACAATTCTTAAAATTCTCTATGAGATATATTTTTATCACTCTTACTACAACTCATTAAGGAAGTAATACTTAAATCCTGAAATATCAGAACTGCATTTTGCTCTAATATTGCAATCACTTGATGGCAATGATCATCTGAAACATGGTCAAAACAAAACTTCATTTTCTCTCAAATCTGCTTCTCTCAGTATTCTGTACCTTATAGAATATAGTTTGTTTCTCATATTTCATCCAATCCATTGTAAGTGCAATAAGATAGACCATGAAAATATCTTGAATCCAAACACTTACCACTCCAGCTATGTCCCTAGTTCAAGGACCATAATCTCTGACCTAGAATACTATAAGTGTTCCTGTTCTGTTCTTGAGCCTCCTTCAACCTTTCTAACACACAGCCAAAGTGATCATTTTAAACCTCATTATAAAATTTCCATCACCCTTAAAATCTAAAATCTTTACTGTGACATGCAAGTGAGCTATTAGCTCGCTCTTGGATACCTTACTAACTAAATTCCCTACCTCTTGTTATTTGTATTTCCATCATACTGTCCAACTAACTATTCTTTGAAAAAGTGTATTCCTTTATCAAGGGCTTTATATTTATTGTTTCTCTGCTTCTAATTCTTTTTCCCCCTAGACCTGTGCTATTCAACAGCCACTAGCTACAAGCCATGTGTGGCTACTGAACACTTGAAATGTGGCATTGAGGTTGAGGAAATCAATTTTTAATTTTATTTAATTTTAATTAGCTTAAACTTTAAAACTAAGACCCGAGTGCTTAATAGAGCTTCCATTTGGGGTAATGAAACAGTCCTAGAACTAGTTAATGGCAATAATTGCACAACATTGTTAGTGTATACTTAATGCCACTGAATTATATATTTTACATGTAAATGTAACAATGGTAAATTTTATATTATGTGTATTTTACTACAATAAAAAAAATTGTTCCTTGGTATTTCCCCAAAGAAGCTGAACTTGTGCCCACACAAAAATCTACACATGAATATCAATAGCAACTTTATTCGTAACTGCCAAAACTTAGAGCACCCAAAATGTCCTTCAATAGGTGAAAGGTTAAACTGTGATATACCCATACAACGGAATATTAATCAGCTAAAAAGGCCAATCTGAAAAGGCTGTATACTATATGATTACAATTATATAATATCTTGGAAAAGTGGCTGACAGGGGCTTAGAGGAAAGGAAGGAGGAATAAGTCGACTATGTGTGATTTTTAGGGCAGTGAAACTATTCTGCATACTATAATGGTAGATACATGTCATTATACATTTGTCCTAATCCATAGAATTTACAATACAAAATGTGAATTTTAATGTAAACTGACTTTGGTTGATAATGATGTGTACAGTGTTAGTTTATCAATTGTAATAAAAAAATTTAGCTTGTGTGTGTGTGTGAATGGAGTATGTGGGAATTCTCTACTTTCTACTTAATTAGCTGTGAACCTGAAAGTGCCCGAAAAAGTAAAGTGTATTGAAAAACATTAATACTTCGTTCAGGGGAGGGGATGGATCCCTGAGTGGCGCAGCGGTTTGGCGCCTGCCTTTGGCCCAGGGCGCGATCCTGGAGACCCGGGATCGAATCCCACGTCAGGCTCCCGGTGCATGGAGCCTGCTTCTCCCTCTGCCTGTGTCTCTGCCTCTCTCTCTGTGTGTGAGTATCATAAATAAATAAAATAAAAAAAATTAATACTTCGTTCAGGGGGATTCCTGGGTGGCGCAGCGGTTTGGCGCCTGCCTTTGGCCCAGGGCACGATCCTGGAGACCCGGGATTGAATCCCACGTCAGGCTCCCGGTGCATGGAGCCTGCTTCTCCCTCTGCCTATGTCTCTGTCTCTCTCTCTCTCTGTGTGTGACTATCATAAATAAATAAAAATTTAAAAAAATACTTCGTTCAGTTATTGGAAAACTTTAAGGTATGCTTGGAACATGGGTATGTGAACATACTTGCTC